GCGGTTGAGGCATTTTATAGTCCACCATCTCATGACAGGCCTAGAAACAGGTAAGAGTAGGTATAGCTAACGATATGGTAAGGCAAATGCCCTAAGAAGCTGTCTCAAACCACGAAGTGCCTCTCTCTTCCTTCGCCTGTGTCTTGGTTCTTCTAATGCTGAAATGAGTGCTCTTGTTGTGTTTTAAACCGCACACTCTGTTTGATCTTACACTGAGATTTGCGAGACCTTTTTGCCCGGGCGCTTTGTTCCCTACAAAATCTAGCGGAAATCCTGAATGTCTCCGTGTATCAAAGTCGAATTTTACAGATGTCGGTTCTATGTGTGGTTGATTTATTGCAGTGAAGGCTGGGAGCAGAATGGGCTGTACGAATTCTTCAGAGCTAAAATGAGAGCGAGGCGGAGGAAAGGTCAGGAGAAGAGAAATAGGTGAGAGACCCTGTCTGCTGCCTTCTGATGCGTGCTGTTTGCCTGGAAGGTGCTGGGAATACCTTGGGCTAAATGCAGAGGGAAAGTCTGTTCAGCCACATGCTGATGGGGTGACTGAGTTTCAGCTTGCTGGAATTCCTGTCTAATCTCCAGAAAATAGTTTTTGCCACGCTCAGGTTTTCACTGGGTTGTCTGCAGAGTGCTTGTGTGTACTTTGAATTTGATCAGAAGTACATTTGCATTTCTCGTGCTCCCAGGAGTTTCATTTGAGTTTCTCTGCTTTTATCTGTGCAGCGGGCCTTCCCGGTCTCGCAGTCGGTCTAAAAGCCGAGGTCGCTCATCCTCCCGCTCCAATTCGCGATCTTCAAAATCTTCTGGCTCCTATTCGAGGTCACGATCTCGCTCTTGCTCTCGATCACGATCCTATTCACGCTCGCAGTCCAGGTAGAGTGCAATGGGCTGAAGGAAACTGGGAGGGTGGGAAAGACCAACCCTCGGGTTCTGGATGAGGAACCCAGGGTGTTGCTCTGGTAACTTGTGCATCTTGTCTCCTGTGCTCTCCCTTTCCAGAAGCCGGAGCAGGTCCCGCTCTTCTCACAGCCGCTCGCGATCACGGTCACGATCAAGATCAAAATCATACTCACCAGGAAGGCGGCGCCGGTCCCGGTCTCGCAGCCCCACTCCTCCGTAGGCTTTTCTTTGGTTATTTCTCTTTTTACCTGGGTTGTTTGGACAAAGTACCGACAGGGTACAAGGGGACTTTCGCAGAAGATGGGTATAATAAGCATTTCAACAAATAGTAGAAAAGAAGGTGGAAAGTAGATTTAGAAACTCTTTATATGCCATATGTGCTTATAGAGAGAATATTACTGTTGCGGTGGCTTTTTGTTATAACAAAACACTGTGCAACTGTGAAGACTTTGTATGCCTTCTGAGGAAGCAGGAGGAGTCCTCAGAGTATGCTGCGTCAGGAAGACTGTAGGGTTTGATTTCCCTTGTACTGAGAAGCAGGTAGGGTGTTGCTGGCACCTTTGTAACTCCATAATTGACAGCTTTACAGAAGAATAGCTTAGTAGAGTGGATGGGATTATACGGGGTGTTAATGTTTAACAGAATAAAAATGCTTTGTGTCAGAACAGTATCACTGGTTCTTAATCTGTTCTTTTTTATTTCCTTAGTTCTTCTGCTGGTTTGGGCTCCAGTTCTGGGCCTCCTATACCAGAATCAAGGCTGGGAGAAGAAAATAAAGGCCATCAAATGCTAGTGAAAATGGGTAAGATGCTGTTCTGGAATCTTACACAAGCCAGGAGACAAAAATCAGGCACCAAACTCTTGGATACAATTAATTAATCCATCCACGTTTGTTAGTGATTATCCCTTGCTATTCCCAGATCAGTGTAAGACTAGTCAGAGATAGACATATGTAGGACTTGGAGCAGTGGTGGTGGTCGCCTTTCTGGGACGGATATGAAAGACGAGGACGCGAGTTTGGTGTCGAATAGAGTTTACACCCCAAGGTGTTTCAGCTGCCTGCGGTGTATAGCAGCGGGGTTGGCTGCACGGATGGGGCTTGTGCTGGCTTTCCCCTTGCCCTCTTAAAAGTATTTAGGGATAGTGCTGATGTTCGTCAGCTCCCAGCATCTCTGCATATTAATGCTTTTGGAATAAACGGGGCCGTTCATCCGGTGTTGCAGGCTGGCTGCTACCATTCTGCTATATCAAACTGACGCTTTCTTTGGTTGTTTCCAGAAGGTCTATGCCTGTCTTCAGAATTCTAGTAATAACTAATAACTTCAAGTTACAGTATTGCAACGCTGTGTCCTTTCCGCAGGATGGAGCGGATCTGGTGGGTTGGGAGCCAAGGAGCAAGGAATCCAGGATCCAATTAAAGGAGGGGATATCCGAGACAAATGGGATCAATATAAAGGAGTGGGAGTTGCATTAGATGACCCTTACGAAAACTACCGAAGAAATAAAAGTTACTCGTTTATCGCACGCATGAAGGCCAGAGATGAATGTAAGTGGATGTTTCTATGCAATTTAAAAACCTGTGCAGAGCTGAATAGCGGTTTTGTCCTACTTAAAAAGAGCTTCACTTTTTAAGCCCAAATCAAAAGACAAGTAACTCTTAATTCTTTCTAGTGTAATGGATCCACTAAGCCAACAGGTAAGTAGAGACACATTGTGATTACCCAGCATACTTTCCTTTTCAGGGGTTCTATTGTATTCTAATTTCTGAAACATTAATTAATTGGCCTGTTCTGTGTAAGCCACTTCCTGGCTGCAATAGCAGGAGCCTGCATCTCTGACTGTTGCCCTTCAGAAAAGAGCAGCGATCCCCCAGGTAGTGGAGGGGGCCGTTCCACAGCAGGGACGGCTGCTGGAGCAGGAGCTCTTTATGCTTGGGCTTAGACCACGCTGACTTTGGCCCTGCCCAACTTCCAAGTTTCCTACAGTTAGCGCTGCGTTCTGCCAAAGCCAGAACCGGTAACAAATTCACTGTAGTGCAGGAAGGGTTCAGAAAAAGTGGAGGAGGTGCTGCGTAGGAGACGAAGACAATTACCCACATGATGGATTTTTGCAGAGAGTCTGTAGAACAACCGCACTTGCCAGTGACTAAAAGGAAAAAAAAATTGGCGCGCTAAATGAAAAGTCACTTCTGCCTCTGGCTTGCAGTAAATCTGTGTAGTAAAATGGGTTCAGATAAAAGCCCAAAGGAAGAATTCCTTATTAATAAGAGCCCTCATCCCATGAAACATTTCTGACAGCTTAGGTGACTGCAGAATGTGTAAGAACTCTTTTCCCTATTGTTTCAGCGAAGCGTGAAACGCAAGACCCTCCACCACCCGAATAAGACTCTCTGAAGAAAGATGTCTTGCATCTTCTACAAAACATTAAACTTCTATAAATCCGGATTAAAGTCTGGAGAAGTGACAAATGAATTACTTTTAAAACTATGGCGAAAAATGGAAAGCTATGACATGTACTTCAATACTTGTCGTTTAGTGTTTTTAAAAAGGCCAGTCATTACTATGACATGTCTAGCAAGTTTAAGAATTTCCATTTATTTTGCAAAATTTTTTAATTGGCTGCCCATTTTATACAAGAACTAAACCCCGGTCAGGCTGTCCCCGGTACAGGATTGTGATTCATTCATTCATTCCTGTGGAATACAGACGTTATCTGATGTGGTTTTATGTTCGCTAGTTCCATAATGTATGTTTATTTCTCTCAAAAGGTTAATTCTATTTGAAGTGGAGGGGTGCTGCCTTGGGATCAAGTCAGACTGATGCTGAGCAGTGTATCCTAATGTCTAAATGGGGAATGAAGCATCTAGTTCCAGTACAGGTGACCTATGAGCACTGTGCGAGCTTGTTAGAACCTACCACCCAACCTAACGCCCCTACACACCAGCTGCTGCAGTCACAACTCTGGTCAGAACACGAGGGTTAACTGTTCTAGCTTTTCAAGCGCTCTGAGGGATGTTCAATGCTTTGTAATGGAAGACACTCTTTAAGCTTTTTATATTTTTGTATATACCCTTTAATAAAAGCTAATTAGTTGAATAGAAGAGAATCAGTTTTCTCTGCTGTGCAAGTTCCTAACAATGAAACGTTCTTGGAAACTTCCTTTAATCTAAATGAGAAGAAAAAAAAAAAAATCCTTTTGTAACTGTTTCCAGAGTCCACCAGCTAAAGATGTTAGGCCCTTACACTGCACTTCCACTCCAGAGGTCTGCGTGGTGGTAACCTCTTCCAGTCATTTGTTTGTATAGCAGAAACCCTCTTAAAACCATTCAGTTACTATGGTGAAATATCAGTTTGTTCTAGATCTGCTGTAGTTGTGGAACTGTAACTGTCTGTGAATCAGCATACGACACCTGTATGTTATCAACTTGTGAATTTTATTGTTTTGCCTTCCAATAAACACTTTTTTTTAATAAAAATAAGATGGTGGCTCATTTCAGAGTAAACGGAGTCCTGTATGTTGGCTGTAAGTCTACCTTGTATTGAATTTATCTTAACTTGCGTGTGTGTGGTTTTGTAGTAACGTGACAAGGCCAATTACCTATCAACATGGTTCAAGTGTGGCATGAGAGTCAGGACAGGGTACTGTTCTACTGGGATCCCCCTCCTCGGGTGCTGTGGTACAGACTTTGACTTCTACCACCATCACAGATGTGCTCACAGCTGACATGATCCACGTGGTAACCACACATGCTGTGCTGACTTAGCACGCTGCCTTTACAGAGAAGTGCTTTCTTGGTTTCTTTTATGCTGAACACTGACAGGGTCTGGTTGAAGGCTGATGCCTATCCCTGTATCGGTACATGAGTAAAATATTCAGATATAGAAAAATACATTATGTATAATTAGATGGAGAGCAGTTAGTACAAATCTTTCCAGTATGTGGAATCATAGAATGGTTTGGGTTGGAAAGGCCCTTAAACATCATGGAGTTCCAACCCCTATAAAAACATAGTTGTTACAACATAGTTTGACTTATCTGTAAAATTTGGGTTTTCTGTTCCAGCTTGAGATCTGTGTCAACTTTACTTAAAATTCAAAGAGTCAGAGCAGTTTTTCCTCCTGTGCTTTCTGAATTTCTTCACATGCTTGCTCAATTGTTAGAGGTGGGGATTTGTGATTCTTGATGTACTGAAAAAAAGTTAATATGCAAATTTATTTTGTAGATAAATACTTTATAGTATTTAATAAATAATAATATGATCTTCATGTCAAGATACCTGCACTTTTCTATGCTAGCAACAGAAACCAATACTTCTGTTGCAACATTAAGAAGATCCTTACTCGTATGAGGACAGCTAAGTGCTACAGCAGAAAGCTTACTCTTCCAAAACCATGGCCTCCGGTAAGACCTCAGTCTTTTTTACTGTATTAACTCCTGATGTGTTATTAATATGGGCACAAGCAGTACAGTATCCTTCTTCTATGAAGTAATTTATTCAATGATCATATGAACTTTATCTGACTAATGAATAATACGCAAAGAAAACCTGTTTACTGCAACTACTAGAAGCGTTTGGAAAGGAATATAGATGTATATCATAAATACCTCTTTCGCTTCTTCCAGGGTATGGTAGTGGAACTTCTCATTCTCTAATGACTCCACAAGGGATGAGTGAAGGTGGTGAATGTTCTCTACAAACTGCTGAGTCAACAGCAAGTGCTGTTTCAACATGGCGTTCAGAACAAGAACTGATGGGCTGTATGCTGTCAAGGCTGCAAGAAAGGGAGAGTCTATACATCAGCGATACGTTTCAGTCACGTAGTAAAGGCTACACAATCCGAGCAGGGGTTAGATGCGTAAAACAGAATGGTAAGAAACATGTTTTTCAGTACCTTCTACTGCGTCCATGCTGATGACGTGACTGGCAACGGGCACCGGATCAATGTAGCTGTTTCCTACAGATGGGCCGAGTACTGCGGTGGCGTCTGCTGTGTACAGGATAAAATCAGAATGACTGGGTTTGGAGGGTGGAAAGGTTTAGCGCTAGAACTCGGTTTGTCTTCAGCAGTGTCCTGGGACACCAGTTGCTGCAGAGCCTAACAGGGAGTTCTGTCAGCCAAAAAAATGCTAATGTAGTTCTCTGACCTCCACAGTTTGCTCTGACAGTCGCAACACGTGCTGTGTGGAAGGCATCTTTTCTAACCCTAGACAGAGTAAAAATAAAGGCTTTTGTACTCGAAGGAAGCTACTGTTTTCAAGCACATCTGAGTTTCTATTTTCTCCTCCGCTAGCGTGGCAAGAAGTGTATCTTGCCACTTTGTGCTTTCAGTACAGAGAGATAGGAAAGGAGCTACCCCTCAGAAACAGTTAAAGGTCGCATCTGCCTTTTGTAAATGGGGTCACAGTGCTTTCCCAAGAAATAAATACAATGCAAAAAAGAATGCTACGATGAGTGATCACTTTAGTAACACTAGAACAGCATTGTTTACAATAGTAAAGATACATAAAAATGTTGAATTCCACTTGAAATATTACTTGGGCTATTGCAAGCTCTGGCGTTAACACTAGCTCATCCACCCAGAGTTCCTGTTGGGTGGGGTTTTTTAAGCAAAAAATAGTTCCAAGTTCTTATCCTGTTGCCCAATCTTTTCTATGGATAGCAGATTAAAGTATTGAGCTTCAGAAAGTTTTTAGTTTAATGTCAGCTACGGGAAGCCAGTACTGAAGCTAAGAACTCTGTCAAGGCTGACTAGGCTAGCACATAAAATATAACAGGGCGGTATCTCCTGAACTTACTCTTTGACCAGCAATAGGTGAATGGAGAATCCACTGTCTGAACTGCAGTCTCTCTGACCGTTACGCCGTGTCCCTGGTCACGCCGCTCTCTGCTAAATAAAGGTGAGGATGCTGAAGATGGGCATTTTCCAGAATATGTGCAGCTCTCGGAATGTTCCTCTGACACTTCTGATACAGATTCTCTGTCTGTTGTAGACAGAGACCTTTCGAAGTCTTCGGAATATTCTGAATTAACAGTTGTCTCCTCATGATCAAGATAATCCTGTTTGTGTCTAGGAGAATCTGCAGAAACAACACTTAAGTGCTCAGAGATTTTGGCTTCAGTCACAGTTTTTTCAACATCCCCTTCAGCAGTGTCATTCACAGCAGCTACTGCACTTGTCATTGGAAAAGAAGCTTGGTCCCTTTCCACCAGGAACGTATCTGTTTTTGGATTTCTGTTTGATTCTTGAGTAATTTGAATGTCTGTCCCCTGTAAAACAAAACAGCCGTATGTTAGGAGAATCACAAAATATAGCATAGACTATGCCTCCGCTACTCTTCACCTGCTCTGCTGCGTAGCACTGAGAGTTAGCGACTACTTTATGAGAAAACAAAAACATTGCTCTTCTGTGTCACCTTGCAAACTGTGCACTGCTGTTACATTTAGTAAGGAAATGCAGACACCAAAAAAAGAATCTGGCCAGGTTTCAGTAGACTGCAAAATTTTGATCTAACCCTTACAGCCAGTGAGACACGCCCACCTCACAAAGTCTACGAGCAGAGCAGAATTACTCATTTTAGAATATCCACCCACCATCAAACAAAGGCAGAATGGAAATACAAGCTTGTAGGGAATTTCTACTTACGTTCTGCTCTCCTTCTGCTGCCTCACTGGGGATATTTGGTGCCAAATCATCAAGGCTCAGGATATTCAGTCTGAAGTCTGCAATCAGATGACATATTGTCATGTGAATTTGCATGAAAATTACAGTATGCTTTCCCTTAAGCAAGAAAAGTGGAAAAAAATAAAGTAGTACTACTTTCCTAGTTTAAAGTGTAATACTAAAAAGTAATAGAAGCCAATCACTCTAAGTCTTTAACTTAGCAGCAGCTCTTCCTGAAGTTTCCTCCTTTGCTGCCCCTCGCTCACCCCTGCTCTCGCTCAGACCATCAGCACATTGTCCCACTGACACATCAACACTATTCTGAAACTGAAGCCATTAAATCAAATGCAAAAAAGCCCCCAAACATATTACACTAGAAAAAAGAAACAGATCAGCATAACTCCTTTGATCGAGCCTTGGTTTATGTAAAATTGCACCAGTAAATCCTTTCTAAGTGTGTATTGCCCCTGTTTATTAGTAAATTTATCAGCAGATAATTAGTAGAATTCACCCCCAGTCTACTGAGACAATATTTCAGAACACTTACCATTTGAGCTGCTGCTAATCGAATCTTCTGCATCAGCTGCTTCCGAAAATAATTCGTCTAACGATTTTATTTCGCTTCTGTCACTTCCAAGTGATATTTGGCTTTGCTTGGTGTTGCCCGTTCTAGGCAGAGTCATCTTTACAGTACTGTCCTTCATGGAAAACGACAGTGATTGAGCTTGCACATTATGTCTTACTGACAGGTTTCTGCTGGCTGGTGAAGGTGTTGGTGAGTTAACTGTACCAAAAACATTTTTCTCCGAGTCTTTGCTACGAAAAGAAGATGTTTTAGATACCTCTGTCGGTGAAATTTCCTTCTGAGATGGAGGAGGCATTCCT